CGTGGTGGGTGAGCAAGAGGGTGGTGATGGTGGTGTTGTCGAGTGTTGTTGGGTTTGGGCAAAATTCCCACTCGCGGAATTCGCCAACGTCCTTTCTAGGAAGGAGGTCAGTACGTTGGTATATAGAGCATATAATAATGACCTATCATAATGCCTTCCTAGTGTAACTGGTAAAGTGCTTGTCTCTATAGTATTGTCCCTATGTCCATAAGGTCAAGAGTTCAATTCTGTCAGGTTGTGCTTTTTTAATTATATTATATAATAACAACAACAGTGACAAACTGCTGGTCCTACTGGGCTCCCTGTCCCCGGAAATTCCTACTGGACTCCTTGTACTGGACTCCTACTGGACTCATTCCTTAAAAATCCAGTAGAATTCCACAATTCCTGGTGATTTGGGTTCAGTCCGGTAGGAATTTACTAGGACTCCACTAGGACTAGGATACAAAATTTGTATGGTGATCAGCCAACATAAAATGTGTCCCAGTCCTAGTCCAGTCCGGTAGGATTCCGGGAATCCAGTAGGAGTCCGGTAGGAATAGGTGGGGGAGAGTAAAGAGCTCATTTGAAGGCACACGCGCAAATCCTCTTCATTAGGCCAGAACCATCCCTAAGCAAAGCAATTACCTCCAGTCCAGAGCATAGAACTTACATAGAGGTGATAAAACAACAAAAAGCTAAATGTAATCCTGGTCCCGGATTACTCTTATTTGGACCTGTTCACTTCAGTCACCCACTGCCAACTGACTATTAGTCATGCAAACTCCACGTAAGTTACATGACTAAATGTCATGGACCATATCTATATTCTAGATATATATGGGTCCTAGAAAGCCCTGAAATCTAAAATATATTCTTGAGACGTGGACCCTGAAATGTCACACAAAAATTATAATGTCTGTGTCACACCACCAAAATATATTTTGCAAGTGAAATGCAGTAAGGATATATTTTTGGTGAGTAGACCCTGAAATGTCACTGTCACACCTTAGAAATATATTTTTGCCCTGGCTTGGCCTTGGGATATATTTTGTGAAACAGATGTGGTAAGGATATATTTTTCTGGTCTGTAGGGGTGTCAGGGGTCCGAGTTTCAGCAAAAAACTTGTGATTTTTTTGCTGTCTGGGGTATATTCTGGAAGATTCTGTCATGACTTCCAGATGTTTTGGCACTATGTCTGGTCTGTGCTCCCAGTATGTAGGTAGCAAGGGGCATCAATAGTATCTGTGATCTATCTGAGTTACTTAAGTATCATGCACTTCCAATGACACTATGAATATGGTCCACATTACAGATTCTTTTAGCTGCTCAGAGTTCACAAAGTTCTTTGTTGTTTCTCTCTTACTTTTCCTCTCTTCCTCTCTCCCTCTCTCCTCTCCCTCTCTCCCTCTCTCTTTCTCTTGACTTTTGATTGTAAATCTCATTGTTCTCTAGCAAATTCTGTTCACCATGTCATAATGTGGGGTTCTTCTTTGTATTTTCCATGATTCTCTTTATGCTTGCTGTTACTCAACTGATCTGCATGGTTTCAAGTGTAACCCAGACATATGCCACACCATCAAAAACATCTGGAATTGACATTCAGACACCACTGTGCTACCACATCTTTACAAAATGAAGATACTAAAAAAGTTCTTGAAGTGTGCTATCTTGAAGCTATTCACTCCAAGTTTCCTAAGTTGCAACATCTGTGATCCACCTTGAAGCTATTCAGTACAAGGTTCCTGAGTTGCTTAAGTATTATCCACTTCAACACTATGGATACAGTTGGTACTATGGAATTTTTTAGCTGCTCAGAGTTCACAAAGTACTTTGGGCAGCCTTATAATACAATCCCCTCCACCTCCGCCTCTACTTCAGCTCTGAGATCTCCAGTTGCACCTTATCTGCATACTCAACTGGGTTGGTGAGTCTACTCTGCTGTTTCTATATGATTCTGTTTTTTTTTCACCACGTGGCACCTATGCCAGACCAAGCTGTCAAATCTATATATGAAATATGGTGCCTGCAAGATATCCTTTGTTCATGTGTTTGGCACTGCTCACTTCAGCTCTGAGATTTCCAGTTGCACCTTATCTGCATACCCCACCAACATCTATATTACCCTACCCTGCCAGTCAAACCCCTGCATGTGATATCAATCATCTCTCCCAACCCACTTTCATAAACAAGAGTTCACAAAGTTTTTTCTCCTCCTCTCCCTCCCTCTCTTTCTCTTGACACTTGATTGTAAATAACAAATCCCATTGTCCTCTAAGAAATGTTGTTCACCATGTCATAATATGGGGTTCTTCTTTGTATTTTCCATGATTCCCTTCAT